AGTAACAAGTGCCTTACTAGTAGTAACAATGTTTGCTAGTAGAAACACGGAGTATATAAGTCCAAGAACCTTGGAGCTGCTTGACTCAGGTGATGCCCTCCAGCCACAGTGGGATGTCGGTGGTTTTTGCCAAGCGCCCGTCGGCCCAACATGTGATGGGCGACCGACTGCGGTAGCTGTGCAGTGGGTTTGGCGGCGGCGAACCAGACGATTAAACAGTTTGGTTTGTCGAATCTTTGTTTTATTGGGAGCAAAGGGCATCGCTATTAGTAACAATGTTCGCTACTAGCGGCTCCTGGCATCGCTGCTAGGAGCAAGGACGCTACTAGGGGCTCCTGGCATCGCTACTAGGAGCAAGAAGCTATTGGGTTAAATTGGAATTAGAATTTTTAGAACCGGAAGATGAAACAGTTTGGTTGCAGGCCATCGCTTCTAGGTTGGATCACATCGCAGTTAGAAACAAAGAAAGACAATGAGGAAAGCACGAGTTCTTTGTCGGGAAACAGTATGGGTCGAGTTATTGTGAGTGCTATTCAGACTCGGACGATGCTATGAAGATAATGTTAATTAGCGATATAATTCTTTGGCGCTATTCCGGATCAGGCGCTTTGTTACCGAAGGCGCTTTGGCCCCTTGATTCAAGCTGTCTTCGGAAGCACATCAGCTGAACTGTCGATAGCCGAAGTGGCAACCGGCTTGAGTATGGCCTGTCAAGAAGCTGCACCGGACAGGTGCGCCCAAGTGGCCGCTCCTTCTCAGGCTGGAGTAGAGGAGGGAGCACACTTTCAGCTCCGATGCTCTCCGCAGCTAGGCTATGCTAGGCTTCGGGAAAACGGTCGGTAACTGTGCTACATGTGCGTGAATGACAGCCCCCTCAAAACTTTTCTTCCCACAAACTCGTCCAAACTAATATTGGCCGCTATACGAACTCTGGAAGCTCAAGGTGAGGCTGCTAAAACTTGTGGTTCGCACGAACACTTGTTGAGCAGCACAAACCTTTTGGCAGATTCAAAGGCACCTTGCTATCAGGAACGTGCGCGTGGCGCATCTGCTTCATGAAGCGCTTTGGTCACAGGATTGGAGGTCGTCCAGGTACACCTCAGCTTCTGGCAACAGTTCGTCTCGCCGCATGGGGGGTTGTGAATCGAAGGATTGCAAAGAAGCAGGAATTGAAAGGGCAGAGCAAAGAAAGGAAGGAAGCAAGAAGGGTCGAAAGGTTTTATAAAACAGACATGAAGGAAGAAATCAAAGAATCGGATAACCCCACAAGAGCTCTTAGAAGAGAAACAGGAAAGAAGAGACGGAGAGATGGGGGAGAGAAAGGTGATTGAGGGGTTGTGCAGTGTATGTGTATCCCCCTCACCAGCGACACGCTGCTTTTATGCACGCATGTTTTGTACGGTGAGAGAGGAGAAAGGAGAGGGGATAGAGGAGGGAGGAGAGGAGCAGGATGATCGGAGAAAAAGGTAAGGACCCCACACTCGCAGGGGAAAAGCACTTTGTTCCAAAAGCGAGCGCAGTGCAAAGCTGCTTGCCAGGGTATTGTGCATCAGCAAGTTTAACTTCAAATGTGCAGGTCCTACGCAAGACCGTCAGAACCCCTCAATGCGCACAGCACCTTGTAAGGGAAAACCCTTTGACAAATGGGAGTTCAGATTACTGTAGTCCTCTGTCAAAGGTTGTCAACTTTGCTAGTCATTTTTTGATGGTATATAAAAGTGCATCGCTACTACTAACAAGGGCATTACTACTAGTAGCAAGAAGCTACTAGTAGCAAGGTGCCTTACTACTAGCAGCTTGCTACGGCACCTTGCTACTGGTAGCTATTTGCTACTACTGATTTGATTCTGCATGTGGGTGGCCATGAGGCGTCGACAACGGCCTGGAGGTTGTCGTCAAGGCACAAAATCTTTGCACAAGGAAACGACCACGAAAGGTCCAGTCTACAGAGTCAACAGGTCAAAAGCGAACCATCAGACCAGAGACAAATAACTAAACGGTTTTTAACTATTTGTCCTTTTAATATCAATTTCTTTCCTTGGACTACACGAGAACAAGGTGGGAGAACTCTTCTGAAAGGTGGTGGGCTTGTAACTCGTCCGAAAACCCACTATGCGTGCAACTGTCACTGCTACTGCTCGGACTGATCGTCTCTCAGACTCTCTCCTTCTGCTGCTTCTATAACGAACGCTTTCCTTTACGGTAAAGCTTCACGAAACACGATGAACACTTCATGAAAACGGTGAAGCCGATGATTCCTCCGGCTTCCATGATCTGCAGGTGCGAGCGAAAGCAAATTCTTTTGTGGACCGTGCCGAAGAAAGGGAATGCCTGGCGCGTTTCGTCATGCTTCTCTAAAAGCACAGCTGGAATAGGCAAATAGGACAGTCGTTTTTGGGATGAGTGCCGTACGTAGCCGTTTTGGCTTTCAGATCCTCAAGCGTGGTTTGGATAGCAGTCATAGCCAAGGAGAGGCCTGTGGCCAGTGACTGTGAGTTGGTTCACGGAATCCCTGGCATCATAAGTAACATGGATTGGGCAGCGCAGGTCCGCCAACAGGTGGGTCTTGCCAACGAGAGGTACCCAACAAAGACACACCCTGTCAGGGACGCCAACACCATCTATCCTCCAGACCTTCCACGATGGATCGTGACGTTGAGTCCGATGCCTACGCATTTGGACTGGGAACTTGGAGAGTTGCTGAAGACCTTAGGGATCCATGAGATGGATCGGGTCTCTGCTGACGAGATCCATTTGCCAATTTGGTCAGATAAGATCGCACTTGGCCTTTTTGCTCTCAATGGCTTACCCTTGAACAACTTGGGAGGTAGCAAGCTCCAAGTGACCCTCCACGAGACCCAGCTCATGGCCTTTCAAAAAGATCTTGAAGTGGGGTCAGGTGATTGATGCGAGCGTTCCGCTCTGAAGAAATGTGCCAGTGAGAATTCTTCGGTTGACCTGATAATAGATGTACAGTGCAGTGAATTTTGGGTGGGGGCGGTTCGTTGAGCTCGAGGACACGAAGTGAAAATCACGTCCCTCACTTGAATGTTTGCAGTTCGCTGAGCACGCCTCGGGCTCAGAAGCTCCAGTGTGACACCACGTGAAGTGAACATCACGTGTCGCACATTTCCAAGAGCAGACTCGCAGACTTGTAGATGTCTGCACGACCAGACTCGCAGACCGAACACGCTGTTTGGCCGAAATGGATTCAAGAACGACGCAGCTCATGGCCTTACTACTAGGAGCAAGGACGCTACTAGGGGCTCCTGGCCTTGCTACGAACGGAGCAAGGACGCTACCTGAGCACCATGTTCAGCAAGAATTCACAATTTCAACATGTCGGCCAGGAATGGCGCCACAATACGGAATTCATGCTGAACCTGCCTGAAACGGAAGGCATCGCGAAGCTCTATGAGGCAACGGATATTTGGTCTATTGCTCTTTTGAATGATGAATATCAGATCAATTTGGTTGGTGGATGCTGATGTGGATCACCTTTTGTTCCAGCAACTGTGGGTTTTGTTTTCCCCTTTGACATCCTTTGACTTTTTGCCAGTGGGTTTGGGGGCCGCGCTCTTCAATGCAAACTCATGTACACACTCGACTTCTGCTTGTTTACCAGGTGCTCGAAGACAAAAAGGGTTACTACGTGATCATGGAGAAAGTGGCTGGTCAGGAGCTGTTGTGTGCGAATGGCCGCAAGCAGAGATAGACATCGAAGTGTGAGACACACAATACGGTAGCTCCTCACTGTCCTCATGTAACCTTGAGGATCTCTTTGAGACCATGACTGGGAAAGGCCAGAGTCTGTCATACTTTGCCATGTCAACTCCAAATTGAGCTTCGAAGTCGATGAGTGATAGGTGTTTTTCGGGAACAGGTCTGCTGCCTGTGGCAGAAGTGAAGGAGGTGATCAAGCAGCTTCTACAGGCGAACATGCGAAACGAACAGACCGCATCAATAGGACGAAGCTCTGAACTTGTTCAGAAAAAGCTCCATTCGTAGCGTCCTTGCTCCTAGTAGTAAGGCCAGGAGCCCCTAGGAGCTTCTTGCTCCTAGGAGCCCCTAGTAGCGTCCTTTGTTCCACATTGTTCCACTGTTTTCATGCCTTTGTTTGTTGTTTGTTGGTCGTCGATCTGAAGCTGAGGCACTGGCCGAGCTTCATGCACGGAATTGTATCCACAAGGAGCGGCGATTGAGATCGGGGAGAGTACATCAGGCCGTGGCCCAAATCTTACCAACATGAAGTGAAAGTTTGGGTGCCTGTCATGATTGGATTGGATCAGTGACAAGTTCAACATTAAGTGCCTTTCATCACGACTTCGTGTGGTGGATCGAATCTGAAAAAACCCTGTAAACACACATGAATGGCCCGAAGAAGTTTCTCTTTGGTTGACACACAGGTAGACAAATGTAGTGCTTTCTAACAGGTGCACAGCTTCCAACAAAACATGTTTAGTTCCATTCGTGAAGTGAATTTAAAACATGAAGTAATGAACAAAGTGCAAGAGATTAGAAAGATTTGGTTCAAGATGACGCCGTACTGGAAAGCATCATGGCATCATGGGCCAGTCGGAAATGAACACTGATTATATTCGGTGCCGTAATGAGATCGCAATTGCTGTATGGACTAGAAACGGTGCATTGGACCAGTTCTTTGTTGAAGAAACTTGATGCTTTCCAGATTCCAATTGCGTGGCCTGAGAACAATTATCGGGCTAGCTCCGACCTTCATTGATAGAGCCAATACTAACAGGGCCGTGATACAGAGAGCATCTCAAATTGCTTTTCGGAGTGATGATCGACGAGTAATCTACAATAGCAAGAGAGCAAGTTTTTTAGGGCACGTTTTTCGTGCGCCGGAATCTGACTCCCCTCAGACAGATATCGCTTCAGCTGAATTCTGCTTGTAGGGTTCAGTAGGGCAAGAAGAGATGCGGCCGGCCCAGGCAAAGTTGGCTGCATTTTTCAAGAAATACGCTTATGAATCTATACTCGGTCTTGATCTTATGAATCTATACTCCTGTAGATGATACTTGCATCTACAATGCAACCAAACAAAGATTGTTATAACACCGCTGACAAGCGCTTAGCTGCGTCAACGCAGTGCTTCAGCTTTGACACGAGTGTTGAAGCAGGGTAGGGCAAAAAATATAAAAAACAGCTGGTGCTGTTCATTCTGAGTGATTACTTTTTGTCTTTGGTTTATCCATGCCATGTGTTTTCCTCAAATACCCAGTTACCCGTCGCAGTGGCTAATCATGGCTAACCCATGTGCTGGGTATTTGTACTGCTCCTCCTCATTCCCCTCCTTGTTTGGTCATCTCCTCTCCTCGCCTCCTCACCCTTGCGGAGTCCGTGGATGTTTGGAAGCTCTTCCTTCCCGCTTCTTTCTCTTCCTTCTCCCTTTTCCCTTCTCCCTTTTGTCTTCTCCCGTCACTTCTCCTCCTCCTTTTCTCCTCTCCTTTGCTCCTCTCCATTGCTCCCTTCCATTGCTCAGCTCCTCTCCATTCCCCTCCTCCATTGCTGCTTCTTCTTCTTCTTCTTCTTCTTCATTCTTCTTCATTTGCTTCTTTTTCCCCAAACAGTCTTTGGCCGCGCCCCTGAACCCTGTGTCCGGGTGTTTCTTGGTGTCCTGCTGTCCTCTGGCAGCGCTCGCGAACCCTGTGTTCTCCTTTGTCCTCCTGTCCTCTGGCCACACGCGCAACCCTTTGTGCTCCTCTCTTCCTTCCAGTGTCCTGCTATCCTCCGATAGCCGTGGCCGCGCCGTCTGCTCTTTCTTCACCACCTTGCCCACGTTGTTCTGCTTGTCGCTTGTCTGGGCCTTGTCCCTTGCTTGGCCGTGCCGTTTTCCCTTTCTCCACCGCCTTGTCCGTGTTTGTTTTCTTGCGACTATGAATGCAACAGTGGTGCAGCGTTTCAAACTCGATATCATCTTGTAAACAAGCAGCTGGAGGCTGTAGACATAAACTGTAAATTCAAGAGTTTCCATCAGGTCTAGGCCATGCTTGTGTAATTATCCTTCTTCTTTTACTTCTCCTCCTGCTCATCTTGTCCTCCTCCTCGTTCTCCGTGTTCTCCTTATGTCCTGTGCTACCATTCTTTCTTTGCCTCCTCGCCCTCCCCCTTCCTATATACTGTATACGTTTTGTTGCTCGGTGCCACAGGCAGCAAATTCTTATTTAAACGTCGTCCCTTAGTGAGCCCTTTTAAGTCCTAGTTTGTTAGTGGAGCGAATCGACGCCTTACCGACTAAGCAACTGAACTAACTACCTTTTCTACATTAATCTAGTAACAAGTGCCACGCTAGTAGTAACAAGTGCCTTACTAGTAGGAACAAGAAGCTACTAGAAACAAGTGCCTTACTACTAGTAACAATAAGAATTTAATTAGAATTGTAATTACTAGCAAAGGAATCTACATTATATATCTTCCTTCCTTCCTTCCTTCCTTCCTTCCTTCATCCTCTTTCCCTCCCCCCCTCCCTCCCTCCCCCCCTCCCTCCCTCTCTCTCTCTCGCGCTCGCTCGCTCGCTCGCTCTCCCTATCTCTTTCACTCTGTGCACGTTGTCTCTCGTGGAGGTATATCCCCGCTTCCGCATTGTTTTCTACGTTTCTTCTTTTCCAGCTGCGGTCCTCATCGTTCTGTTTGGCCTCCCGCGACAAAATTCGGATGTGGCGCAGTGTGGCAGGACTTGAAGCTGGAGAACGTGATGTTCGACAGGACACAAAGACATTTAGAGTAGAACGATCTGATGGGTTTGTGGTGAGGGTGTGGAGACACTGATCGAATTCGCGAATTCAATTCGATTTGCATATTCCTTCAAGAGCAGGTTATCCGATTGGTTGGGAGTAAACGGTCACTGAGTCTAGAGTCTAGCAATCGCTTTTGAAAGCTTGCGTTGCCACAATTTACATGCATAGAAACGACTTTTGCCAATTTCCTACCAAAACCTCCCAAATTGTCTAACATCTACTTTTGCACCGCCCCAACCAAGAGGTAACCGGTTGCTGAATGCTGGAGAGCTCCGTCTCCTGTTTCACCACCCCAATCTATCAAAACGATTCAAAAGGCACCATTTGAGGAAAGTGTTCCACTGCTCAAGAAAACAAAGCGCCTTGTTCCAGTCTTTGTCCACCTGAGGCGCTTTGTTGTCGCACTGGTGAGTGTTGAGCCCTAGAAGCGTCCTTGCTCCTAGTAGTAAGGCCAGGAACCCCTAGTAGCGTCCTTGCTCCTAGTAGCGCACGAGTTATGATCTATCAGCCAACCATGGCACTTGAATCTGGAGCCTGCCGAACAGCTTCTTCGGGCGTGAGTCCTTCCTTCGTTCAGGCCCAGTCCCCCGCACAGGCCGCTGGTAGTGGTGCAATTCGCAACCATCGCGATGAGAACATCACACTGCGCATTTAAAGCTTTAAAGGTGAATGCTTGCTCAATGTACAAGCAGGGAGCATGCACAGGTGCTCTGTGTTTGTCTTGAGGTTGACGCAGTATGGGGTTTTGAGACATATGCAGCATCAGTGGCCTGATCAGCCAACATGTTTCATTAGCCAACCTGATTTGCAGCCCAAATCCGAAAGCTTGGCAGAGTTGTCGTGATTCTTGGCCTGGAATCTGAATTTGCTTGGCGACGCTGCTTTGACAATTGAGCCAATAGATCTGGCAGAGTCACCCAATGACTCTTGCGCAACATGGAAGGAGGACAGCCACGAACCCCTGACAGGCCGGCTGACACTTGGTGACCTTGGTGTGATGGGACTTTCGACAATGCCTCCCTGTCGGCTGGTGTAACAAGTCAAAAGGCTCAAAGCTGTCTCTGACGTTGCCTTTCGCTGAGAAACCGGTTCTGCATTCCAAGAAAGAACACATTAGTTAGCGAGGGCCGACTTGTGCTAGCTTCCCAAGATGGGTTGTTCAAGATTTTGGACCTTTGGATGATGGAAGAAGCTCTTTGGATGTATTGCTAAGGCTGAGGTTGCTCGGTAGATTCGAAAGCAGCTCGACACCTATCAATTGCAAGGCGGAAGACGTGCCTAAGAAGGCCAGGTTCTATGATTTGATGAGAGATTTATACCATGAAAGGTAGGGGGCTAGGGGCTGTCGTAGTCAATCTCTTCGAGAGCAGCATCTTGGGCAGCTTGTTCGGACTTCAATCTGGACCTTCGACCATTGAGGAGTGAGGCCAAGGTGAATCGGGTCTGGGAGCACCTCGTTCGATCAGTAGGCGGGAAGGGACCAGTGAATCCTTGCAGTGTTGAGGTTCTGTGTGAGCAATTATTGCTCCCATACAACAGGCGTCCAGCGTCAACGCGTTAACTTTGACAGGACTTTGGAATCACTGCAGGCCTTGTTGATCTCCCTTCATCAGGTTACCCTGCAATTTTGAGACCATTTCTGTTCTCTTCACTCGTCGCGGAGAGTTTAGGCTTGAACGAGTCGGCAGAAACGGTCACATTCACTTAGTCACCGTGGGACGCTTCAACTCAACACTCTGGCCCAGGCCGCAAGACCCAGCGTGGCCTGGCCGGTCGTTCTCCGTTCTCCACAAATGGGAATCCGGAACCCTCCTGTACGACTTCTGAAGGTTGTGCCATTTCCTTATACATGGAAAACCATGGCAGGGGAGGCCATCGCTCTTAGGTTGGAGGCCATTGCTCCAGGTTCTCTCTCCCCGTCCAGGAGTCCAGCACTTGATGTTGAAATGGACAAGCTGCAAGCTGGTTCCCGGCAAGGGGCACCAGGATTGGTGCTGATTTCAGTAAGAAAGTCTAAACTTAGCTCTGCTCTTGGGCAAGATGGGCATCATATGGCAAGCTCGGCTCAATCCAGAAGGCCATGAGCGAGAAAACAACCGCCGCGTTAGCTTCTCTTGGGCAGTAGCACAGACATTCTGCCTTCCGAGTCAGGAAGATGTCGCAGCGCTTGGATCCAGGAAAGTGTGCATTCTTTGTCGCCGATGCTGTGATGGTATGTCGCTGAAGGCGGCGTGCTTGGTCGCGTTTCCATATGGAAGCCTTCATGGTCACGCGGCGCACCTCATGATTAATACGCACGGGCGTCGACACAGAGCAAGGAGAAATGTGAAAACTCGTAGGGCACCTGCGTGGTCACGAGACAGGCACACGGTATTTGGAATTTCAATCTTCACCGAGAGTTGGGGGGTTGATCGCTTCAGTGATGTTCTGAGCCTGCTTTCTGCCACTTCGCCAGACACTGCTTGCTTTAAAAACAAAGTCAGGTCCAGTCTGGGAATGATCGCCAAGAACCCAATGATGGCGGAAGAATGCACCAGACAGGGTTCTAGAGCGCCCTTTTCTTGTTGTTTTGAAGGGGATCGATCCCCTGATACTGCAGCACAGCTGCAAATCTGCAACGAAGGCCGTGCCCGTTCCCACAAACTTCCAATCCCCAAACGTGCTGTTCCCGCCGCTTTATCCAGTACGCTCTGGGCGGAGGCTTTGCAGGTCCAAGACGTGTTCGACGCCGCTACCCCCCTGTGTTGTAGACGATTTCTCGTTTTAGGTGTAGTGCCGTGGTTCTTGTCATGTTTGCCCCGTAGTATCCCGGAGCCCATCGCTTTCGGCTTCACAGGACTCCGCCCATCAATGCGAAAGTCGACTGGTCAAACACTGGGGACCAATCTCCGGTCAAGGTGCAGCAGCAGTGTGCCATTCGCTGTCCGAACAAGCACCGAGCATGGTGAGCGAGGAACTTCTAAATCAAACCTTCAAAAATCCAATTTTGGAAGAGTCAAGTTTGCATGATCATGCAAAAGTCTCAAAACAGTGTAATTTGTCAAGTTTCTAAGTCAAAACTGAATATAATCAAAATGTGTTTGCATAGTGATGCTGGTTCACCACTTCAATAACACCTTGTGAGAAAAACGGTCCAGCAGCATTGGTATGGAACCAAAGTCCATGGCCGGCAAGGGTCTGGTGGGATTACGGATGCTGTTCTTTAAAAACCCAATGGCGAGCATAGTGGCCTTAGGCTTGAAGTAGGGTGGAGGCCATTACTACTAGTAACAAGAAGCTACTAGGGGGCTCCTGGCCTTACTACTAGGAGCAAGTAGCTATTAGCTTATTGTTTCTACTAGCAAACATTGTTACTACTAGTAAGGCACTTGTTACTACTAGCGATGCACTTGTTACTAGAAGCGACGCAAGTAGCTACTAGGTTGGAGTCTTCTGCGGATCGGAAGCAGGTGAAGTTGATCGACTTTGACACCGTGGAGACGGTCCAGCCACAGACGCCAAAGAAGGCGAAGGTGCAACTGTTGAACAAGTACTACGCCTTTGTACTAGTAGCTATTTGCTACTAGTAGTAATGGCCTCCAACCTAGTAGCTATTTGTTGCTACTAGTAATAATGCCCTTGTTACTGCAACATTTTTCAGGGAAGCACTCGGGACAAAATCACGTCAGGATTCTAAATTGTGCCTATAGGAAGTTACTCCGTTCTTTTTCTCACAGGTCGAGTTGCATTTTGTCAGATTGATGTAATTCAGGATGTCCTCGGGACAGATCAGTACATCGCTCAGGAGGTGCACATGTCGCGCTTTGCATTTCACGAAACCGCCCCCTCCATCATCGTGCGAAGCAAAACCAAGAGCGCTCTTGTCCAAGTAACCTTCTTGTCCATGGAGTGGCAGCCAAAGCCTTCAAGGTAGGAGCAAGGGCCGGCCTTCAGCCTGAGAGGAAAGTTTCGGCTACAGCTCACAAAGCAGCGGCCAGGCGTATGATGGAAACTACTCTGCGGCTTCGGACATTTTTGCAGTTGGTGTCATCGGATATCGGTGGGGCTCCCAGATGAACACGCCTGAGGCAGCAAACTTCCCCTGTTGATTGATGTAGATGGATCTTGTGTTTCATAGATGGACGATTGGAAAGTAGCTCTAACTTGGCAGTCAAATTGAACATGAAGAGAGGCCAATCAGAGCACAATATGGAGCATGTTTGAGTGGGTCGAGGCTCCTCACTGCCAAGTTTCCTTTCCGTGCAGACATCTTTGATGACGAGGCATTCAGACTTCCTTTTAAACTGCATGCAGGGATACGCAGAGAGCATCACAAGAACATTTGAAGTCAAACTGATAAGACATGATAGAGCGATAGGTACAAGTGACCCCTAACCAAAGGACGACACGCCATGAAAGAGTATGCTCCGCGCTTTCACTCCAAATCACCCAAAGATCTTCGGACTGACCTACCCATTCTGCCAGTAACAAGAATTATCCTTGCACATTATTCAGACATTTCTTTTGCCAGCGTGAGGCCGGCGACAATTGGGTCGGCTCCCCGAAGATGAAGGAGCTCATCAGACTCTCAGCCGAGAACCGTTCAGTCTGAGTGCAGTTCCTTCTTTTCAGGAGATCCGGCAGAAGCTGCAGAATTACAAGATCGATTGGAATCATCGGGTTTTCAGCTTGGAGCCGCAGGCGCAATAGCCACAATTCCAAACTCACAATCCCAAACAAATACTAGTCAATAGTTTGTTGAACTCATCGCCGTTTGTCAGCGGTTTTGACATCCATCCAAAAGGACCGGCATTCAGCATGAAGCGTTCCGCGTGTGCTGCGTCTTTGTGCATTGGACCTTCCATCGCAAAGCACAGGCCTGCAACCTCATCAAGGCCATGCTCGCCAGCAACGAGAGGGAGCGTCCCACTGCCAAGGCGGGCCGGCTTTGCAAGGATATGTTTGGCCTCTTAATCCATTGAGGAAGTCCTAAACGTGGATTGGTTTGGGGTAGCCATTTTGATATTGTTTCTGTTTGATTGTGAGAATAGCTCACTGCCAGGAAGCACTGGCAAATGGCTGGTTTAACGAAACCGGGCGACGGCGATCCATGCCAGATTTGGATCGGGCCGGCCGGGTGACTGAGTGTCGAACTGTTTCGGTTTGTTCGATTTAACTACCCTTTACAAGTTGGCACAAGAACATCTACAGAAGACGATAGTAAGTAGGTGAGCATGATAGTGTTCTTGTATGTCCTTGTCAAATTCCAGTAATTCCTCAGGCCACTTTGCAGACAGAAACGTTCAACGTCTTTTTGAACCACCAGCTTTGTCGCTGGACACATGCCGATCCACTCCCACTCGGAGCAGTCTCAGACAAAGGCTCTCGATTGTCCACCGCCCAAGCTGCAGGTTCTCTTAAGACCTCCAGGAACAAGTGCATCGCTAGTAGTAACAGGTGCCTTACTAGTAGTAACAAGTGCATCGCTACTAGTGACAGGTGCCTTACTAGTAGTAACAAGTGCATCGCTAGTAGTAACAGGTGCCTTACTAGTAGTAACAAGTGCATCGCTACTAGTAACAGGTGCCTTACTAGTAGTAACAAGTGCATCGCTAGTAGTAACAGGTGCCTTACTAGTAGTAACAAGTGCATCGCTACTAGTAACAGGTGCCTTACTAGTAGTAACAAGTGCATCGCTACTAGTAACAGGTGCCTTACTAGTAGTAACAAGTGCATCGCTAGTAGAAACAGGTGCCTTACTAGTAGTAACAAGTGCATCGATAGTAGAAACAAGTGCCTTACTAGTAGTAACAAGTGCATCGCTACTAGTAACAGGTGCCTTACTAGTAGTAACAAGTGCATCGCTAGTAGAAACAAGTGCCTTACTAGTAGTAACAGGTGCATCGCTACTAGTAACAGGTGCCTTACTAGTAGTAACAAGTGCATCTCTAGTAGAAACAAGTGCCTTACTAGTAGTAACAAGTGCATCGCTACTAGTAACAGGTGCCTTACTAGTAGTAACAAGTGCATCGCTAGTAGAAACAAGTGCCTTACTAGTAGTAACAATAAGAATTTAATTAGAATTGTAATTACTAGCAAAGGAATCTACTAGGACCTTTTCGCGTAGGAAGCTACTAGGAACCTAATAGTGTCCTTGCTACTAGTAGCGATGCCCGGGTTCCTAGTAGCTTCTTCCTCCTAGTAGCGATGCCAGGAGCCCCTAGTAGCGTCCTTGCTACTACTAGCAAAAAGAACCAAGAGCGATGGCCTCCAACCTACTAGTGATGGCCTCCAACGTAATAGACTCTCCTCCTTCCGCTCGTGGGTTTGTAGATGTTTGTAGTTTTTTTGTTTTGTTTTTTTTGTGGGTCCACCATCCGAGGTGAACGATCTCCTGGCGCAAGTGCCGCTGTCCCCAGCTCAGTATCTCAAAACACTGAAGCACATATTGTTCGTGTTATGTGGGAAGTGATTTGAATGGTCGGACAATTTTGGCACCTCCAAAAAGGCTTTCTCAGTCTCATAGAATTCAACTCAGAAGTCCGGTCTATCTGGTCGTGACGTTCGGTGTTCCACGTGGCGAAACCAGCACTGAGGCACCAAAGGACATGATGAGGATGGTCTCTGGAGGTTGAACCTCTGAATCCAAGACCGCCGGTTTTTTGGGGGCCAAGTGGCCGAAGTGGCCAAGGTCGAAACTTTCCACAACCACCTTTGTCACAATGGGATCATCCTAAGCTACTAGGAACAAGTGCACCGCTTCTAGGAACAAGTGCCTTACTAGTAGTAACAAGAAGCTATTAGCCTCTTATGGCTCCACCGGCCTTATTCTCTTGTCAGACCTGGACCGACGAGTAGTGGGCTTTGGGGCCTCAACTGGAAAGACAGGAGCCACATTCCACAACGAGCGGTTGTGAAAACGATGTAGAAACAACACATGGAAGACCTCACATAGAACACATACGTAGTCTGAACATGTTATCCTTTCTCTACGTACCGTGTCGTTTCAGGAAGACTCGTCGGTCCATGCGACTGCGTGCATGCGTGCCATGCAAGTGGCCCCATTTTTAGGCCAAGCCGGTTTTACCGAGGGTCGCTCAATGGCTCTGAAATCTTCGTGACAGGCACTGTCAGAGTAGATCTGACAACAGACATGGTCACATCCATGGTCATTGGTTCACCGTCAATGGGGCAGCTTTCAGGTCCAGTCACATGTTCGCTACTAGGAACAAGTGCCACGCTAGTAGTAACAAGTGCCTTACTAGTAGTAACAAGGACGCTACTAGGAGCAATGATCATGGGATCCTTGGAGTTGACAACAGGAACAAGGACGCTACTAGGGGCTCCTGGCCTTGCTACAAGGGCCTTACTACTAGGAACAAGAAGCTAGTAGAGACAAGAAGCTTGTAATTAGAATTGTGTGCCAGTCACATTTCAACGCAGTGGATGATCAAGTTGTCCAATGGACAAACTGATCGGTCTGGGAGGAGGAGCATTGGCAAAGAGCAACAAGACCACGAGCAGAACATCAAGACCAGTTTAGTGCAGGAACTTGTTCAATGCCAGGAAATTGACTTCCTCGTAGATAGGACAGATATGAACGAATGAATACAAGTTTCAAGGGAGCTTAGGCATTTTATTCCTTCCTCTGGTTTTGCTTGTCGTCCTTTTAACCCATTGCATCATTCCCAGATTCATTCTGACCCGAACAAAAGGCGTCTTCTTCTTCTTCTTTTCTTCTCTCTCTCTCTCTCTTTCTCTTTATCTCCCCTCTCTCCCTCCCTCCCTGTTTGGGAGATTACACTTTGAATCTCCTTCGGATTGACCTCTTGCAGGCAAAAGTATTGATTCGTTTTTTCCATTTGGCGATCCTAGTCTATGGTCAGCATTGAAGCAACAGGGGTGAAATGAGAGCAATGTGCAAGCCGATGATGAACCAATTATCAACATGGAGGTGCGCCTTCCTTCCTACTCTAACCACAACACTTTCTTGTGAAGTTCTCCAGCAGATTGTGATGCCTCCCAGCCACGTTTGAAGCGTCTGACTGCATGGCCATCAGCCTGCGCTAGTCGGACAGTATTTCTATTCCATGAACACCATGCAGACGCCGCAGTCAGAAGCGGTCTTCAGTGAGCCCTAGGCTGAGACACACACACAATAAGCCAGAGGCACTAATGTTCATGTCTAATTAAGAAATTTCTTGTGATCTTTGTAGAAACAGACGTTGTCAAGAACGTCTTACCTGCGAGGTTTTAAGCAAGCTGCGTTTGCTGGGAGGATTGGTTGCAGAACAAATCACTCCTGATGGAGTGATGGGAGTGACTGTGGATTCACCAAAGGTGAATCACGCTGGACTGCGATTTATGGTGGGGGTGTTAGCATGTTCCAACTTGAGCTCACCTGTTAGTCACCTGTTTTGTCACCTGGTTGTCTTCCCAAAAATCCCTCAGACTTGATCCGAGAGCTCGGCCTGGAGGGCCTTTGTTAAGCCAGAGACCAGATAGGCCCTCTGCTGAGCCACATCCGGAGAGCAACAGCTCTTGGCTAGACCTACTTGCGGCCCCGACCGGCCGTCCTCAGAATGGAAAACAGGTGCCAGCACCGATGTCTATACATAGAAAATGCTTCAGCTGCAGTTTCTCTTTGCCTTGTTTGAAGAATTAGTTCCACATGGTGCCACCTTCGGGAAAGGTCCGACGTGACGTTGATGCCAACCCAACACGGAGCCTCATGTGGCTTCATGACCCAGGAAGAAACCTTGCAAAGAGCAATACATAGTAATATATGTATATGTATGTGTAATGCCCTTTGCTACCAGTAGCTTTTTTGTTCCTAGTAGTAGTGCCCTTGTTCCCAGTAGCGATGCCTACATTATATAGTAGCTTCTAGACGCTAGTGGACCCTCCTGTCGAAGCGTGCGCAGAGAACCCAGGGATGCTCTGTGAGGTACCTCACTACCCGAGAGACGCTTGGAAGTCGGTGGCGGGCATCGAAGCTGCAGCCGGGTACTTGAGAGCTGCTTCTCGGGTGCTTCGCTGTTTCTTCGTCCGGCAGCAGGATGGTCGGGGTCCGTTCTTGTTACTAATAGCTTCTTGTTACTACTCGTAAGGCACTTGCTCCTAGTAGCGATGCACTTGTTCCTAGTAGCTTCTTGTTACTACTAGTGCCAAAACTAATTCAGTGACCTGTGATGAAATCACTGCCTGTGATGCCACAACTCAGCCACCCTTTCTTTTGAGCAGTGATAGGGCGGAATTCTTGTGTTGACGG